ATTAACACGGACTTCTGGGAGTCCGCCACGGGCCTTGGCGGGGCCAGCGACAAGGTGGAAGAACGCTTCAGTCGGGACTACAAGGACTTGGAGGTCTTCAACAAGGTACAGGCCAAGCAGCTGCTGATCGTCTGCCACAATGAGGGCAAGGCCCTTGGATGGCGCTCGTGGAAGCTGGTCGACACGAAGACGCTGCAGGGCTGGTTCACGATCGGCAACACTTGCTCCTCAGGGCTTGCGGAGAAGAAGTTCCAGATGGCTGTGGAAACCACTGGTGGTGACGTGGGGACCCTTGTCAAAAACGAGCCCCTGATCAAGAACACGATCGACGGCACCGATAAGCTCTATGTGAACTCAAACCATCAGAACGGGGACTTCGACTTCAATCGGCTCTCCGTGAACGTCGACGTCAATTGGTCCGGAAACTTTGGGGCCGGCCTTGGCACCCAGTACGACACGCAGATGATCGATGGGGGCAACACCTGTGGCAACACGGCGCGGCCGCAGGCAGATGCAGAAATGCGAACGGAGCAGCACCACTGGGGCAGCAGTGGTGGCATGGGTGGTCTCATTGGTTCAGACCACCTTTGCCACGAAAATTGCCCATGGACGATCAGCTCGGGCTACGACTACGACTACGCCATCTTTGTTCTGTCGTGATCGGCTTCCCGGAACCGGAGGCCGACATGAGGCCCTATCTTGCTTTCGCCTGCATGTCAAAACAGACCACGATCAATGTCTGCATGTCACACCATATACTGTACGCCATGCCTGCACGATGCCTGTTCTGCTTGAGTGCCCGTTTGGCTCTGCACTACGTGCGAAGACATGGATGAATTTGCTGGGAACGCGGGGCTTTGGATCTTTTCAAGAGAGATCTATGCTCGACAATGAACAATTACGCAGTTTTCCACGCCCGCAGCTTGAGCACTCAGAAGCAACGTGGTAGATTGGATATGTTTACCCAACGAGGTGATGCTCTCCCAAAACATGCATCATGCCAGGAACCCCTCGAATGTTTCTACTTTATGTGGTAGTGAGGGGACTGATGGTGGGGGCAGTGATGCTTGCTGCCATGAGTTTAACCAAGGAGCCACGTAGGTTGTGGTGGTGGGTTTGCATCACTCCTCTTGTGGAATGCTGTCCACTTCACTACTCGCAGCTGCTTTGTCAGCGGTGTATCTTCGTTCGTTTGTAACTATACTGCGCACGGCTGCTTCCCCGCATGCAGGCCGCATGACTCTTCTAAACCCGAGAAACCCCTTGTGGGATATCCAAAAGATAAGCCCTTTTCTGGCGCAGGCTCTCAACGATTGCTTTGTCCGTGAGCCAGACTATGGCTCCTTCAGGCCAGCAGCTACATTTGGGAGGATGACAGTCGTCATGACTCTCATTCGTACTAAGTACCTTATGCCCCTTCGTACCAACTGCAGCAGCACATGATTTTTCAGTTTCGTTGGCAGGATTCCCAAGAAGAAGGAGCTCCCGCAAGCCCCGGCTCTGGATGAAGTGGATGAAGAGGCCCCGGAGGAGCCAGGCACTCATTCCATGAGGAAAGCGCTGGAGGTGGAAAGGTGAACCGTTCGAAGGCAAGAGGTATGGCTTGGAAGTTTTTGGGCAGAACTATAAGTAGTGGTGGGATGTTTGGGGCCGTGGTGTTGTACGCAAAGTCCGGGGTCTTCAAATATAGGCGCACGAGTTCTTGCCTGGCGTTCCGAGGGTAAACGGTACACATCTCGGAACCATAAGATGGCCCTAAAGATTTTGGTGAGGGGAGGCTCAGAGTGTAGGGGAGTGTCGAGCCAGCCTGGGCGGCAAGCTTTGGTTAGCCATTGCCAAATCTCGTATGCCTGCGGCAAGCAGTGCTTATTTCTTGTTGAACTTGAAGGCTTGATGCGACACGCGTTTTGTTGTGAGCATGAGGGCGAACGGATGTGTTTCTTCGCCGCGTCACTTATCCAGCCTCGGCATGTAGATACAAGAAGTGAGGCCCCAAGTCCGTTTTGGCAAGTATCAGACCCTCAGTCCTCGGCCGTTGTCATCTTATGTTTGCCCTCTGAGGCCAGCCTGGAGCAGGCTCAGAACCTACCAGCCAGCCGAGGAAACCACGGACTTAGTCTTCGCTTGGAGAACCGGTTTTTGTTGATTTCCAGGGGGATCCACCCACGCGATGGTGCTTCTAGGCATGCAGAGATGAGGAGTCCGGATGTGAAATTATGTCAACTTCCGCAGCCCAGAATGCTGCAGCCGTGCTCACAGCCAAAGAACAGTACCATACAATACCCAGCTTTGTCGTCATAAGTGCCCATGTGCGATCCTGGAAGGGTCCTCCCATATTTGCCTACGAGTCGACATCATGCGTATATACCAGTTCCACCTCTTACAGTAAGAGTAATAGATAGAGGAGAAGCAAGACAAAGAAATCGGCTTTCTGCGTCAGGAGACGCTGTTCAGTTTCAAGCAGACTGTGGACAGAAAGCTCCTGAAGGAACTCCGAGAGGTGATGCGCGCAGCCTGTTACGCACGAAGCTGTTTGTAAAGATAAGCTCAGGGAGTTCTCACAGCTCTATGGACCTGGCGGCTAAGGATATCGGCCACAAAGTTCGGATGAGCTATAAGCGCCCTCGTGATGCTCTTCGCCCACTGGATCTGCAGAAGGAGTGGGCTCTCAAGCGATTCTTTGGTCTTCCAAGAATCGCTGTATGGAGCATATGCATACATCTGCACAAATACACCTCCGTCCCTCCCTCCCTCACTCACTCCCTATCTTTATCTAGTCGGATGTATACATGTACATGTAGGTAAGCTTGCACAAGCAAAAACATTGCATCTACACGCTTGCTTGTCTCAGCGCACCTCTTTTTTGCATTATGTGTATATACATGTAAAAGGCAAGCAATGCAGCCGATGACTCTGCCAGCCCCATCTATATGCAGGACGGCATAATCCGCAAAGAGGAGATGCGGGACTTTTTCCGCGGTTTCAACAAGCGACTTGTTTCAACTGCAAGACTGCATGAATCTTGTACATTGCACTGCGCGCGCGTCTCCTATGGATTCCAGGTCTGAAAGCTTCGCAGACCAGGTCTTCACCCTCCTGGATCCCTCCGGGACCGGAAAGGTGGCCCGTTCCGGAGTGGGGGTTTGGCAGTAGGTGACCAGACCCCTCTCTTCATGCCGCGCCTCTTCGCGGCAAATTCCGACCACAGACACATGATTTGGAGCTGAGGTTTTTTTTTGCGATCAGTTCTACTCGTAGGGGTTTGTAGACAAACAGGTCGCACCTGGGCTTCGTCCGAGATTTGAGTGCCGAAAGCCCTTAAGCTCTAGGCCCCGCCCAGATGAAACACCGTCCAGGTGGACTTTAGCGAGTTCCTGATGCACTTCGACGAAGTGCTGACACCCGCCCACCGGCAGGTGGAACGAGCAGCTCGTCAGGTGTGGATCTCCAGCGGGCACTGAAGGCGCAAGGCTTCCCGCCATCGTGGAGGGAAGCAGGAACAGTAGTCGAAGTGCCCGCGAAGCTAGGTCAATACATGTTCATGCTCAGACGATTGCATTCCCGCAACGGCACACTCGCCCAAGCAAGCAGCACCTCCGTGAAGGACATCTACATCCGAAATGGTTCAGTATGAAGCCACTACTCAACTTACTGGACCCGAGGAGGTAACCAGTCGAGCCCCTAAGATGATGCAACGAATCTCAAGCAAGAAACTGCGGGTTCCACTTAGGCGCCCGTCATCGGCCTGGCCGATTTGGGAAGGCCGATCCAGTGCAAGCATGAAGGGAGTCCCTTTGACTCCTGGGTTCCTTTTCGTGGAATTTGCAGCCCGGGAAAAGTCCACCGAACTTGGCTGCCAGGAACATGCCGCATACTTGCCGCGTGTTGTGCCACGGAAACACGAAGTGTACCAAGACAGCAATGCTTCAAAACGAGGCACCCTGGTCTTCGAAGGCAGTAGATGGAGTAACCGTAACTTTCGTCGGAAGTAACATCGCTCAATGATCTAAAAGGCTAACCTTCATTCCCTCAGGGGAGAGTAGCGAGAAACACACGTGCCCTTCCTTTCATGACGTGGATGGTCGCAGCTCCGATATCTGCTGGCACGCGCCACCTGACAAGACTCTGGTACTTCCCATACC